AGCTAAGCCCAGGCCTTGCAGATGTTACTTTAAGTTCTGCACTGGGCCCTGTGGCCTGTCCATCAAATACTCTAGTCAGCCGGGCAGGCCCATGGTCCTTGGTAAGGTTCTCTTTTCCCTGGGCCTCTGGTTTCTCATCCTTCCCTAGGCTTTGGTTCTCTCAGCTTAAGCTGGCTCTGGCCTTAGCCTTCAGCCCTCTTGGCTCCTGGCCCCGCCACAGCTGCTGTAACTCTGTCTCAGCCCTCAGCCTTCTGGGTCTCTGACCAGCTTTCTGAGTCAGCCTGCACCAGCCCACCGCTCTGCGGGTCCCTGACCCCAAGCTAGACTGCCTGACCCTGGCCTGAGCTCTCCCAGCCATGGCTTAACACATCGCATCAGCCTTAGCCCTCTGGGTCCCTGACCCCCAAGTAGGTTGCCTGCTATTGAGTGCCTGATCACGTACCCCACCATAGCCCCCACACCTCCCCTGTAGGTACAACCCAGTCCTCCAGTTAGCTTAATCAGAAGATAAATGCAAGCAGAATGGCTATAGATTCATAGATGTTAGGGTCGGAAGGGACCTTAATAGATCATCGAGTCCGACCCCCAGATCATCGAGTCTGACCCCCTAAGAGCGGTCTGCCCGGAAATGTGCATGCAGCCGCCACCAGCAATGAGGATTGGCCCCGATGGTCTGCCCCTGGCACACCAAGTTGAGGCATGGGTCAGGGTTGGGTTGTTTTTGGCACTGGGCCAAAAAGGTTGCTGACCCCTGTTTTAGAGTTTAGTTGTTATAAAACTGATTTATAGTGACAATTGAAAATTGAGCAAAATGATGGGGGTTTTACTTAGTACTGCTCAGTTCTCATAAAAATGTCTAATACATTCTATTGCTTTACGTTAAAAGGACCAGTTATTAAGAAAATTACTGAAGAGATTGAAGAGGATTATGATGATGATGATTTTTCCCTGGACTGTCAACTGAACCAAGATAATACAGTTAAAACTTTAAATTTTATTACACCTGAAAGCCAAGAAGGTAAAATTAACTAATACTAATTTTGATGTAATTGTTTAGAAGAGGGAGCCATTTTATATTTCAGCCTTTTGTCTCAAACCTTTTGTATTTTACCAAAGAATAATAGTATGGTAAATTAAACTATTCTGTCCAGTAACTGTAAAATGTTCGCTCTTGTGGTTTGTCAAATCTTGCCATCCAGCTTTTGTTGATCTTTGACTTTTAAAGACATGTCGTACTTCCTGACTAGCCAAGTATATTTTTAGGAACTTGAAACCACATGTGCCTCCCACCCCCACAATATTTATATTGAAGAGTCTTAATATTAAATCTGTAGGTGAAGAACTACCACGAATTCATCATGGAAACCCTATCACAGATCGAAGGAGTACTTTCCAGGCACACTTGGCTCCAGTAGTGAGCCCCAAGCAGGTTAGTAAATTTTGAAGGATTAATTTTTGCTTGCCATTTTGAGTTTGCTTAAACCCCAAAAGAGAACTTGGAGTTAGCTATATCCATCGGAATGGGTGTGAGAGGAAATTTGGTTTCTAGACCTGAGTGTGACATTTTTATTAATTTAGATGATCTATATGCTGCCCTCCCCAAAAGGTTCAGGGTGGCTTATATGATAACAACAAAATAAAATAATGGTAATTTGACACCCTATAACAAGTGGGCATCCCTGGGCCAGTCAAATCATTGGCCTGCCCACTTGCCTCTGGGCAAACTGCCCGCCTACTTCACTCACCATACCTTAGTTGGTATCAATTAGAAAATGTCAATAGGGTGGGAGGCTACTGTACATTTCTGAAAGTGTATTAAGTGATATATAGTCCTCTTCCAGTATTTTTAAAGAAAAAATATAATAATATTTAGTGAAAAAATGTTATTAAAGCAACAGTCCCTTTGAAGAGTGTAATTTGTTGCAATATCATGCTTTTTATTTTTTACAGTAGACTGCCTGAGTTTACTCTGGGGAAAAATGGGAAACGCATAGTATTAGACACACACACTTTTTTTTTTTTGCTCAAATTAGTATTAATTATGCATAGTTTTTTTTTTTAAATAGCATGGTCTTCAATGTTTTTTCTTTCCTAGACTGAGTTGATCATGGCAGAACAATTGATAGTCTCCTTAATTAGATGTAGAAAAGGAACTAGTATTGATTTACCAACTATTGAAAGCAGGGATAGCAGAAGTTTGTTAATAGACAGAGCTACTTAAAATCAGAAACTTCTGCTTCACAGGAAATTGTAAAATGAAATTGGTTTATATTTCTAATCAAAATGCAGATGCGTATTTGTATATTTCCCAGGAAATAGAAATTCTAAAAGAAGAAGTTTGGAAAAAATGTAGTTTGAAAATAGGTTTTTAAGCTTTTATATTTTCTTTTACTGTTGTTATTTCCTAATATCAATAATAGGGCATTATGTGACACCATACCATAATATATTATATTCTGACATATGTATAATAGCCAAAATAAAATTAATTTTATTTCATTTTTTTTAAATCATTAAGGACACTGGTTGAAATGTATTATTTTTGTGTAATCCATCTGCTGGGCACTGGTTAGCAGCAACAAGGCCGGGTTCAAATTTTGGACTACCCAATAAATTTTTACTGCGACTTGAGCCCCCACAGAGAAATCTGGGATCCCTGAATTTGGCTGGGGTGTCCCCCATAAACAAAACCCCCTTCTTGCAAGCAGTATAAAACACAAAGGACAGATTTATTACAGAAAACGAAGGCAAGGAAAGTGAATGAAGACGCCAAATGCAACTTAAGACACTATCAGCTATGTCTTAGGGAGGCTTCACCCATGCTCAAACAGTCTGGGACTTGGGGGAGCCCCCAAAGGGTAGTTCTGGGGGCCTGTACTCCTATATCTGCCCTCCAGCAATGGGCTGGAGACGGGGACCCACACCAGAGAGTCCCATGAGCTGCTCCTTGGGTTTGCTGCGCTGCAGGGAGCTACTACAGGGCATAGGTCCTTCTCTGTTGCAAGGCACTCCTCGTTGCTTCCTGGAAAGCTGTAGGGCACCGATCTTCACTTCCACACGGTGGCTTTGAGGGGTTAACTGCAGCTTCTGTCAGCATACTGCACCCAAAAATTCGTGGTTCTAATCCCCCAGCTCTGCCATGGCAGAAAACTGCAAACAAACTCAAAAAAAGGCCCAGGCCTTTTTTCACTGGGTGTGGACTAGGCAATAAAAGACAGCCAGGCCATTATGTGCTGGGCCTGGACCAAGCAACAAGAAGTGCCAGGCCTAGCTGGCTGTGGCCTGGACATCTAGGTGGCTTACAGACTGTTTTACTTTAAACTTGGCATACCTGTGCCAAGCCCAGTACATACCCAGAAGAGGCATTGTGTTAGTTGGACCCAACTTGCCCAACATCTGTATAGATTGGGTGCTTTTATCTAATAGCTATTAGAATAATTGAATCAGCTATTAGATAATAGCATCAAAAAGCCCTGCTGAAGTGCCTGATCTATACAGATGTTGCGGAGCCAAGTCAAACTAATGCGTTGCTTCTTCCAGTAAGGCACAGTTTTTGGTTGGTTTTTTTTTTTTTTTTTTTTTAAACGTTTGTCAACACCCCTGGTCTCAGCTACACAACTATGCTGAGAAAACACTTATAAAAACAACAAAGTGGGAAGGCCAGGCCTATCCTGGCCAATAACTGCCAGGACTCCATTCCTAGTCAGTTTGCTCAAAGGGTTACTACCCCCACTGTATTATTCCACTCAGGGCCTTAGATCTGTCCCAAAAACTGCCAGGCTCCAATCCTAGTTAGTCTGTTCCAGGGATTAATACCCCCCATAGTATTCTACTCAAAGGAAAACAGGGGAAAGAAAGAAAGAGAAAAGCTTAGTCTTAAACTCTGAGACACATTTTCTATTCCTTTACCTTATATTTCCCCTTCACATAGCTCCAACTCCCTTCTCCAGTGAAGGAGGAAGGGGGGGGGCACCTCCCCCCCAAGAGATCAGTTTTTCTGGCTCCCAATTCAGCAGCCTCTGTAGCAGCTCTCACTCAAGTCCCCAAAAAGAGAGCGCCTTACCTGAGTGTTTCCTATATAGCCTGGCATGACATCACCCAAGCTCTTCCAATCAGGCCTTGCCCTGCTTACAGATTTTCCTCTTAACCAATTAATTAAAAAAAGAAATTATACTGCCCAGTTAGCCAGTTATGCTAGGGGTCTGATCCCCTTGTGTAGAATCATAGATAATTTGAGTTGGAAGGAACCTCAGGAGGTAATAGAGTCCAACTCCCTGCTCAAGGCAGAACCATCCCTAACTAGATCATCCCAGCCAAAGCTTTGTCTAGCCAGGTCTTAAAAAGCCTCCAAGGGTGGAGATTCCACCACCTCTCTGGGCAACAAGCTCCAGTGCTTTACTACCCTCCTGGTAAGAAAATTCTTCCTAATATGTAACCTAAAACTCCCCTTGTTGCAATTTGAGACCATTGCTCCTGGTTCTGTCATCTGACACCACTGAGAACAGTCTAGCTTCATCCTCTTTTGAACCCCGCTTCAGGTAGTTGAAGGCTACTATTAAATCCCCTCTGTCTTCTCTAGGCTAAATATTCATAGATGTTAGGGTCGGAAGGGACCTCAATAGATCATCGAGTCCGACCCCCTGCATAAGCAGGAAAGA